ATAAGTATAGAAGTCTACTTACGTAGACACTGAATTTTGGTCCATAGGAGAGTATTGTTTTCCCTAAACACCGTTTTGATTGAAAGGATCATATCCACGGACACGGCCGGAGTGAGATGCCGACGTTGAATGATCATATCCACAGACATGGCCGGAGTGTTATTTCCTAAGAAAGGACTCTTCTGTGTCGCAGCCAGCTGTCGGTTTCTGGCACTCGTTGCTCGGGCAACTATCTGAGCCGCTGCTCTGGCTTTGGTATTTTTGGCAAGTGCAACTGCGTCGAAGTCAACATCACACGTCTTCGGGTCAACTTCATAAAAGCTTGCCTCGGGGGTCTCTTCTTCCTTCAAGGCAGCCTTCTTTCCTTTTGCATCCCCGGGGGCAGTAACACTCTCACTCGCACCAACGTTCACATTATCTTTCATCGGAGCATCTTCTTTCTCTGAATTACTCTGCAGTTTATTGTCACAAACAGGCATGAATATACAAATAACAACACCATTGCTATAATTTAGTAACATGTTTCATCATAGTCTGGAAATTGGAAACACAATTTTTTAAAACATAAGTAAATAATCTCACACGGTACATAGCATTATTAAACATGTTCGAATTCAAATGACATTAGTATTAAGTGTTCCTATTTTTGCGTAATCTTGTTCGCATGAAATGTTTTCGTATAGGCGGAGGGTTTTTGGTACTAACCCCTTCATGCTTCTTGGATCTAGTGACCTGTTGCTGGGTTGGCTCTACATTGTCCTTAACCTATTCTTCAGTGTGCTTCGCCGATCCTGTAGTCAACTCCTCTACTGCACACTCTACAGATTCAACATTGTCGGTGAGAAATTTGATCTGTTTTTCACAGCTACCAAGACCATTCAGCATCTTGATTGATAAGCTTTTGAAGCATTGGTCGAAGTGCGCTTTCATAGTAGCGACAACTTCGACCCCTTCATCACCAACGAAAGAGGCGGCAGAGGCAGAGGCTGTGCATGTTCTCTTGCGACTTGATTCATCTGAGGGAAGGCTCCTTTTTCCTGCTTCTTCCTTCACGATGTGTGCACCCAGAACACCTTCCAAAGGCTAGTGGTTTTTTGAGAACTTGAATTGGGGGTCATGGATTGCATTGACAATCTTGACAATATTTGGATCTTGTTTCTCATCATCCCAAACTGGAAACATATCCGCCAAGTCCTTAGCCACGCAGCACTATATGCGAGCCTGGAAAAACACAATCAGTAAAAAAATTATTATATAATAATCTACGTATGAAGTCTACCACTGAAGTCTACCACTGAACTCTACAGCTGAAGTCTTCTTTTAACAAGATTATTATATAGAAGTCTACACATAAAGTATACCCCTGAAGTCTACTTTGTAAATTAATTACTATATAGAAGTCTACTACAGAATAAAACTTCAAAATGAGAATGACTAATACCTGTTTTAGCATGTTGGCTTTGACGTTCTTTCGTCCTCTTGATCCTTTGTAAGCCAGCAGAACAGGTGTCGGATCATTTGGCAATGGTTCGCCAAACTCAGCAGCAAAATCCGGCAGAGCATAGTACACCCACACTTGAAGAGCTTGCACAAATCCTTCTATATGAATGTTTTTTCTGAGATCTTTTTCCTTAACAGACTTTATCAGATGCTGAAAAGCAATTCCTCCCCTTGGAAACTCTTTAAAACCTTCGAGATTTATCACTAGTCTGGCATGGTTAACATTTGTGGATAAGCCTGGTCTCGTTGCCACTATGAAACCAGCGTAGATCCCAAGATATCCCAAACGCAGCCTATCATCCCAAGACCATGATGAGCAATTGGAACAGGCTTCAATAATTTCAATAGTGCTTGGGCCCGACTCGACATCGACCCCCATTAGCTCCCAAAATGCACGCATCTCATCGGAAAGCTCAAGATCAGCTAGAGCCAAGTCATCCACGTACCCGCAGTTGAGTCCGGTGATCTCCTCAAACTCATGCAATGAAAACCAAACTGGAGTGGTACCAATCAGGCTCCATATCTTGTACCTCTGCTTGCAAACTATATAAAAGGACAGCATGTGGTGCACCAGCCTAGAAGCCCAACCAAAATCCAAGTCGTGGAACTTTAAGAAGACACCCAACGGTGACTCGTAAATCTCTTCTCAGTGCAGGTACCAGCCTATAATCATCAGCATAATAGCCGATGCTTTTATCCGGGGCTGGCTCACCGCCTTTGGTGTACAGTCTTCTAGGGAATTCAGAGGCCACCATTATCTAACACAGATTTCTGCATAAACGGTAACAAAGCTCTAATGAGAAAACTAGTTATAACTAACGGTTTGAAACTATACACGAATGAAGTCTACTTTTACAAAATGAAGTCTACTTTTTGATAACATGAAGTCTACTTTTACCCAATGAAGTCTACTTTTACAAAATGAAGTCTACTTTTGCAACATGAAGTCTACTTTTGCAACATGAAGTCTACATTTACAAAATGAAGTCTACATTTGCAAAATGAAGTCTACTTTTTGCAAAATGAAGTCTACTTTTGCAAAAGGAAGTCTACTTTCACATTCTAAGTACAATCCGAGTCGAGAAGTTTACTGAAGCCAACCGAAGCAATCAAAACATCAAAAAAACAGTTTATGAAGTCTACGGAAGCCACATGAAGCAATCAAAACATCATAAATACTGCATATGAAGTCTACTGAAGCCAACCAAATCAATCAATACATAAAAAAAACAGTATATGAAGTCTACTAAAACCAATCATCCAAATGGAATCTACAAAGTTAATAGTGTTTACAGCCGTGATTAGATAAAGCCGGCGTCGAGAAAATGCAACCAGATCTGCAAAAAAAAAACCTATGTACTCAAACCCGACGGACAAAATTACAGGAAGATAGAAGAAATAGAGGAATAGCTAAGTATATATCTTTGGAAGGATATCTACTAACCATTTTGAGGCAGGAAATGACATTAACCCCCAGCGGCGAAAGCAGATCTACCAAAAAAAAAACCCTAATTTCAGATATGGACACTAGTGGTTACGAAAACGGAAAGGTGATGAACACAGAGGAGTAAGGAAGCATGTGGGTGAGGTTGGAGGAAGAAAACTTGCCTGAACGGGTTTATCGGCGACGGTTGTGTAAGTCGGCGGCGCCGGAGAAGAGAAACAGGAATCGCTTTCGTCTTTTTTTTTTAAACAGGAACTTTCGACGGTTTTTTTTTACGGGATCTGTAAAATTCCTTTATATAGTCTGGTAATTCCGTTCGGTTAGGGTAAGTTTTTTCGGTTAGGGTTAATAATTTTACGAGGACTAGGTAAATTTACCCGGTTACGGGCAGTTTTTCTTGGTTAGGGGAAGTTATTCCCGGTTTAATTTTGGTTTAAATTTCGGTTAGGTTAATTTATTCGGTTTAGCAGACTTCAATATAGAAGTCTTCAAATTTGAAAACCTAAATAATAGATTTTCTTCTACTTAATTTAAAACATAAATTTCCATGTATCAATATGAAAAAATAATTTATGTACATTTGTGTTACAATTACGGAATTTATGAATGTAATTTTGATACCAAAATAACTTTTTCTAAATTTTAAAATTAAATTTCCAGATTTAATTACTTAGTAGACTTCATTTCGATAAACGAAGTCTACTATCAGACTTCTTTCTCGCTTTAGTAGACTTCATCAGGGTGTAAACGGTAACTAGGACATCCGTTTTTTGTTTACTCATACAGGATTAAATGGTCTTTTCACTATCCCTTTAGGTTATTTCTGCCAAATGTTTTTTCAAGGGTCTACTTTTGTATTCAAAGTCAAGTTTTAGGTTATTTTTAGCAAAAACCCCTTAAAAAACTGTTTTCTTCACATTTTAATTCCTAAAGAAAAAATGAAAGAAATTTGGTCGCAGCCAGAAAACGAATTAAAGAATCAATACTTAATACTCTGAGGGTTTACTATTGTCGCGAGCCAAACCAGATGGTCGTACCATCTTCGTATCGTGAATCACCAATAAGCCTCAAGGAGCTGTGAATTGTTTTATACAACATGTTCGTGATCCTGTCAGCCTGTAATGGAACCTCCCCATGACGATAGGCATTTCGCTCTCTCCAAACCGCTGATATGGTCGCTTGGAGAACGTAGCGCGCAAGGAAAAGCTCTGTTGTGTTCAGTGTTCTGGATGATAGGAGCTGAACAATTTCACTCCATTTGTTCGTGTAATGCCCTTGAACCAGACCCCTTGTCAGCTTCCTCCAACTGATGCGAAAAACCACACTCGAAAAACTGATGCTCTCTGATTTCCATTGGATCAAAGCAAAAAATACATGATATTGCCATTCCCTGTCCCCACTGAGCCATACATTCCCCTGTAGACAGCCGATTCGATATAACAAGCCATGTAATAAACGTGAATTTGGGAGTGGCGTTTTGGAACCACACCATGTAGCTCCAGGCTTTCCTCCTTTCGGGATTCCTGAGATTTTGCCATGTGAATTTTGAAGAAAACTTTGGTCTGTATGTGCCACTTTTACCACACCAGAGGGCTTGGTCGTCTTGCTGGGTTCGTCGCTCCTTAGCTTCCGAAATTGCACACTCAATAGAATTAAGAGCATCACGCTGATGTCTTCGTCGTCTATGAATTCGCCATACATTAGCTAGTGTAGAGTGAGCTGGGATCCCAAGCGCAATAAAACCCTGGGTTCCCTCGATATCAATGAGTCGACCCATAGTACACCATTCATCAAATCAGAAAGAAATCGTCTCCCCATTGTGCACTTGAACCCTGTGTAAATCCCGAGCTTGGGGTCGAATCTTTAGCAACCGTTTCCACATCCACGATCCTTGGTTAGGAGAAGTTGGTAAAGACCAGATTGATTTACCTCGCAACATATATTCCTTGATCCATACAGCCCATAAAGACGAGCTGTTCGATAGAATCCTCCATAATAGTTAAGGCAACTGACTGTGTTCACCTCCCTTAAGGATCGTATACCCAAGTCATCCTCGTTTTTTGTGCGACAAACATCAAACCATGAGACCTTTTCTTTGCGTGTGTTAAGGGTTGGTCCTGACCAAAGAAATGCGCTGCATATAGAATCAATCTCCTTAATACAGCTACACGGAAGATGAAAGGCAGTCATCCAGATGTTAATCAGCCCTGAAATTACAGAGGTCAAGAGCTGTAGTCGGCCAGCAAAGGAGATGTGCCTGACCGTCCAAGAGCTCACCCGAGTTCGAATGGTAGCCACCAGAGGATCATAATCTGCTTTGCACATTTTCTTGGTCATTAAGGGAAGCCCAAGATAGCGCAACAGCAACTCGCCAATGTCGAATGGGAATCTGTTCGTGAGTGTCTCCCAGCTTGCTGATGAGATACTAGACATAAATAGAGTCGATTTCTCAAGGCTTATCTTCAAGCCTGAATATTTCGCAAAATCCTCAAACACGTCCACAATACCTTCTATAGACCGTAATTTGCCATCAGTGAAAACCATTAGGTCATCGGCGAAACATAAGTGAGTGAGCTTCATTCGAGAACACTGAGTGTGATAACCAACTCCCCTTTCAATAGATGTGCGGTCCAACATCTTAGATAGAACATTCATGCACAAAACGAATAGATACGAAGACAGGGCACAGCCTTGTCGCAATCCTCTACAACTCTGAAAATATCCTACTAATTCCCCATTCACTTGAACCGAGAAAGGAGCTGACAATATAAAGAGATGTATCCAGTGAATAAAGGTATCAGGGAGACCCAAAGCCCTCAGTAATTCAACAAAAAACCCCCATTGCATTATGTCGAAAGCCTTTGAGATATCAATCATCATTGCACAGCGAGCTGGTGCGACGTCCTTGTGATAGTTCTGAACAATCTCTGAAGCTAGAAGAACGTTCTCCACCAAGAGACGGTCCTTAACAAATGCAGACTGATTAGGAGCGATGATACCCAGTAAGATTCTCTTCAATCAGTTTGCGAAAATCTTAGATATGACCTTGTATAAGATGTTACAGCATGAAATAGGACGGTAATCCTTCATCTCCTTCGCATCTTTCTTTTTTGGAACTAATACCAGGATAGTAGAATTTACTCCCTTTGGCATAAATCCAAAATGGAGAACGACTGCACTGCCACCGTTAAATCCTACCTAATTTGTGACCAAGCCCCCTTAAAAAACTCTGTTGTGAACCCATCAGGGCATTGAGAAAATCACACTCTTAACCTCTTCCTCTGTAACCTCGATAATTAGTTGTTCTCTTTCAAGAGAGGAGCATTGAGTTTCTAGTAATCCTCGTAGAAAATTCACCTCTGACCCTTGAAAATATGCAGGATATGGGTTAAGAACTCCCTGAAGTGTCTTTCTGCTTCCCCTTTTATGTCATTATGTTCCCTGAGAACAACTCCATCAGTTTTCACGATTTCCTTTATCATATTTTGGGATTCTCTGAGACACACTGCCCTAAAAAACACCGCATTGCTCTTGTCTCCCACATTCAGCCAGTGTAATTTAGATTTTTGTTTCAAATATCTCTCCTCCAATTCTGATAGATCACTACAAAAAAAGAGGGACATTTCCAACGAATATTTTACGTCGATTCATGATCGTCGTAAATTTACGACTCAATAACTTCGAACTTACGACGTCAAAATATTTCGTCGTAATTTCGACGTAAAATACTACTCTCATTAAATCGTCTTACGACGATTTTACGACGTATAAAGAACGAATTTAATTTCGTCGTAACTTTGTCGTAAAATTTACATCGATTATACGACGAATTGGCCTCCATCTTGTAGTCGACGTAATATCGATGTAAATATGATGTAACTTTTATTTCGACGTAAATTTGATGTAAATATTCAATGACAATACGTTGGTAACCAAACAAAAAATCTATATATACCCTCTCTTCTCTCATTATTCCATCAACCCAAAAAAACATATAAAGACACAATTTTTTGAGTCTTTGAATGTTTGAGTAAAATTTTTAGTAGTTGAAATTTATATCAAAGTTCAAAAACAAAAGGTCAATTATTTGTTTTTGAAATGTCTATATACGATCTACGAAAGTGGATGTATACGCCCAAAAATGTTGATGGGTCGTTGACTGAAGACTTCAAAAACGGATTAGAAATATTCATGTACCAGGCCGGCCTTATGCAAACTGTAATTGAAAGCGGCAAAATGTATTGTCTTTGTGTGAAATGCAAAAATAGGAAACATATTCCTATTGACACTGTCTGGCAGCATTTATTGAATAGAGGGTTCATGCCGTAATACTTTATTTAGTATCAGCATGGAGAGGGATATGGTCAAAGTAGTGGTCAGATGGCTGCACGGAGTAGTAGTAATCATCAAGAACATGGAGATTTTGAAGCGTCAAATGATTATCAAAGTAGTGAAGTTCAGGGTGAAGATCAGGATAAGATGCATGATATGTTTACTGATGCATTTTATGAAACACATGCTGATATTGTTGAGGAGCCCAATTTAATATATACTTAATTATCTGTATATGATCTAACGTTTTTATTTTTATTTATAGGTTGCTCCGAAGAAGAAGGACCGCACTTTAGGGATGGGCTCTATTAGAGACTGTCGCCTCGTCTTCCGGATACCGCACGCAGGTGGATCCGAGTCAACTGCGACAGGAGCTTGCTACGGCCAATGCTGAGATCACCAGTTTACGGCATGAGCAAGTAGCCCAGAATCAGGAGCTCACCAAGATGATCGGCCTCTTCGACATCATAGCGGCAGCGGTTCCGCAGTTGGCCACCGCAATCCGAGAGAGGCAACGGCGAGCACGGATTATTGCAGGGGGTTCTTCCGGTGGACCTTCTAACCAGCAGATGACACAGGGTCAGACTTTGAATCCCGTAGTTCAGACGGGAAACGACGGTACAGCGGCGACGGATGAACATGACGGAGAGCATCCTCGAGACGTTGATCTCAACCTCGAAGATTATGAAATAACTTTGTAGATTAGTTTTATTTTTAAAAACAATTTGTATTTAATTTTGTATTTTAATATATTAATTATTTTCGAATTTAAATTTTAAATTAAAATTTCGTTTTATTTAATATTCATTTATTAAATTACTTTTAAATATTAATTATTTAAATTAAAATCGAATTATCATAATTATTTTTTTTATTAATCGACGTAATTTACGTCGAATTTACGGAAAATAGTTTACAACTAATTAACGTCGATATGTTTTACGTCGATTTTGTCGATATTTTACGACGATTTTACGTCGATCTATAATAAATTTATTTGATTTTAACGAAATAGATTGTCTCGTAATCGTTGTAAATTCGATGTACCATTACATCGATTTTACGTCGATATTGTATTGAAATAATTTCGTCGTACTTGCGTTGGAAATATTACGTTGTTACGACGAATATTTGCCGACGATGTTTCGACGATTTCTTGTTGTTGGAACTTTTACGACGATTTTACGACATTTCACTTTTACGACGATTATTTTACGATGATTTTTCATTCATCGCTAATTCGACGCAATGGAGCCTCGATTTTACGTCGTTCCGACGTAAAAGGCGTTCTTTCTTGTAGTAGATGTTCCCATCGTGCTAGAGCCGAGGATTCAGCAGCCATGTTCACATGAACAGCATTTGGATTCCTCGCATTTTCGTCTTGTTTACCACACAGATCAGAAAAAGCTTCACGAGTTCGTTTCGACAAATCAACAAGTTCATTTTCGTCTTGCTTCTTCACACTGTAGCAAACCTCAACAAGTTTAGCACCAGCCCATACCGTTTTCCTTGTAGCACAAGCAACTCCAGTTTTCAAAATAAAGAAACTGACGATTCGATTATTTTTGTAATAATAGAAGTCTATTAATTTGATTCTGATCTACGTAACTTGTAAAATGTCACAATCACAAATTAGTATCAGAATCTTGTTAACCCGAACCGGTTCTACTGAGCGTCAAATGGGAACCGATCGCTTGTTGAGCAAGTAAGAATGTTCTAACCGGAGACGACCTGTTGATCTCATAGAGTGCCAAGAAGAGATGAGAATTAGTCAATGATAGGGTGTGTTCATTTTCATCATTTACCTAACGCCTTTACAAAAATATTAAATAATAAAAAACTTTACCGAATTGACTTGTTTGTATCAACTGTTTAGCGAAAATTCTAAACACGCATGCTGTTTTGACGAAATCAACGTTCCTCATATGTTACGGTAAAATTAAACTTTGTCGTATTTACATTTAAGTTCCAAGATCAGCAACAAGTATCTGACTATCTGACCAAAGAAAATCTCTAAAAATGTTTCTTGACAATCTCTTCTCAATCCTCTGTTTTTTCCTAGCTGTTAACTTCGGCTACCTGTCTGCAGAACCAAAATGCGGAGAGAATATGTTTTTCAGACCCAATGGTACATACGATACAAACCGTAAGCTCGTTCTCTCAACTCTTGCTTCAAACGTCAGCTCTCGAGACGGCTTCTACAACGTCTCGGTTGGTGAAGGCCCTGGAAAGATCTATATCTTAGGCCTCTGTATCCCAGGGGCTGATCCAAAGGTCTGTTCCGATTGTATCGAACCAGGGTCTGTCGGTTTATCACAAAGCTGTCCGAACCAGACCGACTCATGGGACTGGAGAGCCGACAAGACACTCTGTTTTGTCCGTTACTCCAACAGCTCGTTTTTCAATCGGAACGATTCAGCGCCGATACAAGCAGAGTACTTTAGTAGAAGGTTCCAAGGGAACCTCCTTGCAGCTTATACAAGAACATGGGACGCTTTCATGGAATTTATGCTCACCCGAGTCGGTCAACCTCGATACCTGGCCGATAGATCCAATCTGATAGTCATAGATTCAGCTCCAAAAGATTCTGAACGTATATACGTGCTGATGCAGTGTATTCCGGGGATATCCTCTGAGGCATGTGAATGCTGTATTCGAGAAAGTGTTGGTGTGTACAAGAAATGCTGCAATGGGTTCATGGGTGGAACCGTTCGCAAGCCGGTCTGCTTCTTTCGGTGGGATGCGTATGCATATCTTGGTGCCTTTGATGCCTTTGATGACACGCCATCTCTACCTCCTCAAGAATCTCAACCCACGCCGCTTACTCCTTCTCTTTCTCCTCCTCCTCCTCCAGATGAGAAAACGATTTCTACCGGAGCTATTGTGGCAATTGTCGTTTCTGCGGTTATATTTGTAGTGCTGCTCGCTTTAGGATTAGTTATTTGGAAGAGAAAACAATCATACAAAACATTAAAACCTCAAAGTGAGTTACCTTTTTCAAGATTTTTAACACTTTCACATTGCTATTTGGAACATAGGAAATAATATACTTGCTGCATAATAGTAACAGTAAATATGTTATTGCAGCTGATGATGACATGACAAGTCCACAGTCTCTGCAATATGATTTTACTACAATTGAAGCGGCAACTGATAACTTTTCAGTTAATAACAAACTAGGTCAAGGGGGATTTGGTGCAGTTTACAAGGTACATATGAGCTCTATATATATATAGACTGCTTCTTGAGTTGTCATGAAAGCTAAGAATTAAGTAGCTATGCATGCATATGTATATTTTTAGGGAATGTTACCAAATGATACAGAAATTGCGATGAAGCGGCTATCGAGAAATTCAGGACAAGGCACACAAGAGTTCAAGAACGAGGTTGTAATTGTGGCCAAGCTTCAACACAAGAATCTTGTTAGGCTTCTAGGGTTTTGCGTGGAAGGAGATGAACAAATACTTGTCTACGAGTTTGTTCCAAACAAGAGCCTTGATTATTTCCTCTTTGGTAATAAACAAGAACGCTAGGTTTAATTTATGTTCTTCGTAGCAATTTTTTATTTCTTAAAACTTCGTTTAATGCAGATCCAACAAAGAAGAGTCAGCTAGATTGGAATAGACGGTACAACATCATAGGAGGGATAACGAGAGGAATTCTTTATCTTCATCAAGACTCAAGACTCACCATCATACATCGTGACATCAAAGCAAGTACCATTCTGTTAGATGCTGATATGAACTGATACGAGCATGGACGAGGTGCAAACTGAGGGTTAGGCCGGAGAACTAGTCCAGACCGGAAATCACGACCAAGTGACCGAGCTAAGCGAGGTGGAGGTTCAGGACGGGAAACCCAACGAAGTGGACGACCCAGACACGAATTTTGCCGAGCTCACTGGTACAATTACACGGTCTCGAGCTAAGAAGCTTTTCATGGCCATTTGGAGGTTATGCACCGAGCTGATGGCCAAGTTCACGGATGCTACACTAAACGACTGAGTTGTAACGCTCTTAACTTATTCGGACGGTGTGGCCCCTTGATACTCTTTTTCCTTACATCCGGGTTTGTCCCACTGGGTTTACCGGATGGAGTTTTAATGAGGTTGAGGACCACATCTTTTCCTTATCCGAATCAGTTAATAGTCGTTACAAGAAGCTGAAAGATCATTCGCGCGAAAGAAGCCAAACGGACATCCGAAGGAGCCGAGTGGTCATTTATCGTATTCAATGTTTTCATTTAATTACTTTGTCTTTTGCACTTCTTATGAGACTCTATATAAAGAGCCAGAACCCTTTGTACTTTGCATTCACCTTTTATCAATAAAATCGAGATTTTCTCTTGTTCTTTCTGAGTTTTTCCTTTCTTAGGTGGTTAGCCTTGAAAGTTACTTTCTGGTTTATCGGATTCAATCCATAGGATTCGACGCAGCCTTCCTTACATCTTGTTTTCGATTTCATTCAAAGTAGTTTAGGGGCAACAGGATTTTCGAGATCAAGTCTCACGCCTGTTCATCCTTGACCCGCGAGATCAACACTTGGTGTTTCATCCCTTGATCAATTTCTGTTTCTCGCGAGTTGGGCCTAAGGACCTTCGAGGCAACCCTCACCCCTTAGCATCTCTCCGATCAAACCGATCTGGCCAAGTTTATCAACCTCTACCAAACGAGCAAGTGCAATTCCTTGGGAGGATCGTATCAAGTGGTATCAGAGCCCACTTGCTTCATCGGTAGTGTTTATCCATCTCTTAATTCCGCCTTTTCTCATCCCTTTTCTTCTGATATTTCCATTATAAAAAAAAGTTATTTCAAAAGTCAAAAAAAAAAAAAAAGGAAACCGTATTCTTTTCTATCTATCTTTCCTTATTCTTCTCCTTCAAACATTTGATAAACCAAGGGATCCTAGAGGCAGTCATCGAAAATCGATTAACTCCTTTAGAACCGGAAGAAAAGCTTTTGTGGGATTGTGAGATTAATAAGAGAGTGAGTGAACCAAAGAGGGAAACACTAGTAAGAATTTTTACTAACGCGTTTGTTCTTTTTGCGAGGTACGTGCATGTCATCTGACTTCTCGTTGGACGAGTGCGAGTTCTACACGTTCAAAGAAGGTAATCACGTTCGCTGGTATACTCCCAGAGAAATGGAGGCCAAACTTAATCAGATTACCGAAATGATGGAGCGTATGAGCCAAAGGATGGATCGGCTTGAAGTCCAGCCAAGGCAAGAGGAGGCCAACGATCAAAACCGCGAGGAGCCAATACATATCCGCCGAGACCGGAATTTCGAGCAGGAGATCGAAAACCCATTCTACGCGGATAATCACTCATCCGGAAGTAGCCGAGTCCGGCCGTGAGGAAACCGTGGTGCACACCGAGGCCGAGCTGGAGGAAACCACGATCGAGGCAACAATTTCCCAGGCCGAAATAACCGACGTGAAGAAGGGCGACCTCGGCGACCCATCCATGAACGAAGAGAAGCCGAACAGGCTCGAGGACGTAACGATAATGATCTAGGAGGCATGAAGCTGCGGATCCCACCTTTCTACGGAAAGAATGACCCAGATGCTTTTCTAGAATGGGAAAAGAAGGTGGATATCGTGTTCTACTGCCAGGATCTGTCGGAGAGGAAGAAGATTAACTTGGCGGCTTCCGAGTTCAATGGCTATGCCATAGACTGGTGGGACCAGATCATGATCAGCCGACATAGAAACGGAGAACGGCCAGTGGAAACTTGGGACGAGATGGCCACTCTTATGCGGCAATGGTTTGTACCTTCCCACTACCACCGGGAGTTACATACCAAGCTTCGGAGGCTCACGCAAGGAACCAAGTCCGTGGAGGACTACCATCAGGAAATGGAGCGTTTAATGCTCAAAGCCGACGTATTCGAGCCGGAGGACGCGACCATGGCCAGGTTTCTAAGTGGCTTGAATCGGGATCTGCAAGACCGAATGGAGCTACAGGAGTATAACGACATGGCCGAGATGTTACATAAGGCGATTCTGGTGGAGCAACAGCTCAAACGAAAGGGTACAACCCGATTTACCCCTGGAACCAGTTCTCGACCGAGCTACCGAGACGACAAAACAACCTACCCCTCACGATCTAACAATCAACCGAGGACGGACTCAAAGCCGAACCAGAACACAGGCAAGGCCGAGGCCAGCTCGTCGAGGACACGAGATATAGAGTGTTTCAAGTGTCGGGGAAAAGGACACTACGCCAATAAGTGCCCAAACCAGCGGGCCATGTTATTGCTTGACACCGGAGAGATCGTATCCGATCATGAGGAAGAAACCGAACCGGTCTATGACAAGGAGGAGACCGAGGAGCGAGCTGTGTCTGGAGAGTTACTTGTAGCTCGGCGTGCTCTAATAGCACAAGAACGGCTCAAGGAGGAAGATCAGAGGGAAAACTTGTTCCACACCCGGTGCTTAGTTCAAGGAAAGGTGTGCAGCTTGATTATTGATGGAGGAAGTTGCACCAATGTTGCTAGCACTAACATGGTGGACAAGTTGGGTCTGGAAACTCGAAAACACCCTCACCCTTACAACCTACGGTGGTTCAATAACCAGAGGCAACTCAAGGTCACTAAGCAGGTCACCGTACCCATCACCATCGGACGATATGAGGACGAGGTCGTCTGCGACGTTTTACCTATGGAGGCTGGACATCTACTTTTAGGACGGCCATGGCAATTCGACAAGAAGGCGATCCATGATGGGTTCTCAAACAAACATACTTTTGAGCACCAAGGCCGCAAGATCGTCCTAGCACCCTTGTCACCACACGAAGTCTATCTCGATCAAGTTAAGCTGGAGCAGAATTCTAAGGGTAAGATCATTGTGAGCGATCCCCAAAACACTTCACTTCAAAAGAGAAAATCTGAGAAAAACCTAGATATGGCCTGTGAGGGAAATCCCGTGAGCAAAGAATCTTTTCTTGTGAGGCCTAGCGAGGTGAAATACGCCTTGGCTACAAAGCAAACTTTTGTCCTACTCATTTTCAAAGACGCTTTGGCTAGCCATACTAACCCTGAGCCGGTTTTACCGAGCAGAATCTCTCATGTTTTGCAGGACTTCACTGATGTCTTTCCGGAAGACGACCCAGGAGGCTTACCACCCATTCGAGGAATTGAGCACCAGATCGACTTCGTACCCGGAGCCACCCTTCCTAACCGACCTGCCTACCGCACCAATCCAGTCGAAACCAAGGAGCTTCAAAGACAGGTGGATGAGCTTCTGGCCAAGGGATACATTCGCGAGAGCATGAGTCCATGTGTCGTGCCGGTCTTACTCGTGCCCAAGAAGGACGGAACTTGGAGGATGTGTGTTGACTGCCGAGCTATCAACAACATAACGGTTAAGTATCGCCATCCTATACCTAGGCTAGACGATATGTTAGATGAGCTTCATGGTGCATGCATATTTTCTAAAGTTGATTTAAAAAGTGGCTATCACCAGATTAGATGAAAGAAGGTGATGAATGGAAAACGGCTTTCAAAACTAAGCATGGTCTTTATGAGTGGCTTGTTATGCCTTTTGGACTCACTAATGCACCTAGCACTTTCATGCGCTTGATGAATCACATTCTTAGGTCGTTTATAGGTGTTTTTGTGGTAGTTTACTTCGATGATATCTTGATTTACAGCAAAACCTTGGATGATCATGTGTTGCATTTGAGGAAGGTGTTAGATGTGCTTAGGCGAGAACGTCTCTTTGGAAACCTTAAGAAATGTTCATTTTGTACAAATAACATTGTCTTTCTAGGTTTTGTTGTGAGTTCGCAGGGAATCCAGGTCGATGAAGAAAAGATTAAGGCAATCCGAGATTGGCCGAGCCCAAAGACTGTTAGTGAAGTCCGGAGCTTCCATGGACTAGCTGGGTTCTACCGTCGTTTTGTCCAAAACTTCAGCACGATAGCCGCGCCTTTGACCGAGATCATTAAAAAGGAGGTCGGGTTCAAATGGGAGCAACCTCAGGAGGAAGCCTTTCAACTTTTGAAACACAAGCTCACCCATGCGCCCTTGCTGGTGCTACCTGACTTTCTCAAGACGTTTGAGATCGAGTGCGACGCCTCAGGAGTTGGAATTGGAGCCGTGCTGATGCAAGAAAAGAAACCTGTGGCTTTCTTTAGTGAGAAACTAGGAGGGGCAACCTTGAACTATCCGACCTACGACAAAGAACTGTACGCTTTGGTCCGAGCCTTACAGACTTGGCAGCACTACTTGTGGCCCAAGGAGTTTGTCATTCACACGGATCATCAATCACTCAAACATTTGAAGGGCCAACAGAAGCTTAACAAGAGACATGTCAGATGGATGGAATTCATCGAGACCTTTCCCTACGTCATTCAGTACAAGCAGGACAAGGAGAACATAGTGGCTGACGCGTTGTCCCAGCGATACACCTTGATTACCACTTTGGAGGCAAATGTGTTGGGGTTCGAAATAATGAAGGAAGCATACCTCACCGATCCAGACTTCCAGGAAGTCTACCAAGCCAGTTCGAAATTTGCCCATGGCAAATATTACCAAAGTAATGGCTATCTTTTCTATGAAAATCGGTTATGCATACCTAACACATCTCTTCGTGATTTACTTGTTAGGGAAGCACATGGAGGTGGACTGATGGGGCATTTCGGAGTAGCTAAGACCCTGAGCGTGGTGCAATATCACTTCTTCTGGCCGCACCTTAGACGCGACGTGGAACGGATCTGTGGACGATGTACGGTCTGCAAGATGGCCAAAACCCGAAGTCAAGGCCCAGGTATGTACACTCCCCTTCCAATCCCTAGTGAGCCTTCGACCGACATTTCCATGGACTTTGTGTTAGGATTGCCACGCACTAGAGAGGTAGAGATTCGGTCTTTGTGGTTGTAGATAGATTTTCTAAAATGGCTCATTTCATTCCATGCCATAAGACCGATGATGCATCCAATGTTGCCGACCTGTTCTTTAGGGAGATTGTCCGATTACATGGGGTTCCTAGAACCATTGTTTCAGATCGGGACACCAAATTCCTTAGTTATTTTTGGAAAACCCTATGGTCAAAACTTGGAACTAAACTTTGTTTCTCAACTACTAGTCACCCTCAAACTGATGGACAAACCGAAGTAGTTAGCCGAACCTTATCAGCTTTGCTACGATCTGTGATTAAAAAGAATCTTAGAACTTGGGAAGATTGCTTGCCACACGTTGAGTTTGCTTATAATCATTCGGTTCATTCAACTACAATGTTTTCTCCTTTTCAACTTGTGTATGGGTTTAATCCGCTTACTCCACTTGATCTAACCCCTTTGCCTATGAGTGAAAGACTTAATCTAGATGGCAAGAAAAAGGCCGAACTGGTCAAACAGATGCACGAGAAAGCCAAGGAAAACATTCAGAAGAAAACCGAGCAATTTCAAAGGAAAGCAAACAAAGGCAGAAGCAAAAGAACGTTCTAGCCCAGCGATCAAGTTTGGATTTATCTACGGAAAGAACGATTTCCTGAGGAACGGAAGTCCAAGCTTTTACCCCGAGTCGATGGACCATTCACGGTTTTAAACTGCATCAATGACAACGCCTACCAGATCGACCTCCAAGGTAAGTATACGGTCAGCTCAAGCTTTAATGTTTCTGACTTAGTTCCCTTTCTTCCAGATGGACCTGACTTGAGGACAAGTCCTTTTCAAGAGGGGGGGAATGATACGAGCATGGACGAGGTGCGAACTGAGGGTCAGGCCGGAGAACTAGTCCAGACCGGAAATCACGACCAAGTGACCGAGCTAAGCGAGGTGGAGGTCCAGGACGGGAAGCCCAACGAAGTGAACGACCCAGACACGAATTTTGCCGAGCTCACTGGTCCAATTACACGGTCCCGAGCTAAGAAGCTTTCCATGGCCATTTGGAGGTTATGCACTGAGCTGATGGCCAAGTTCACGGATGCTACACTAAACGACCGAGCTGTAACGCTCTTAACTTATTCAGACGGTGTGGCCCATTGATACTCTTTTTCCTTACATCCGGGTTTGTCCCACTGGGTTTACCGGATGGGGTTTTAATGAGGTTGAGGACCACATCTTTTCCTTATCCGAATCAGTTAATAGTCGTTACAAGAAGCTGAAAGATCATTCGCGCGAAAGAAGCCAAACGGACATCCGAGGGAGCCGAGTGGTCATTTATCGTATTCAATGTTTTCATTTAATTACTTTGTCTTTTGCACTTCTTATGAGACTCTATATAAAGAGCCAGAACCTTTTGTACTTTGCATTCACCTTTTATCAATAAAATCGAGATTTTCTCTTGTTCTTTCTGAGTTTTTCCTTTCTTAGGTGGTTAGCCTTGAAAGTTACTTTCTGGTTTATCGGATTCAATCCATAGGATTCGATGCAGCCTTCCTTACATCTTGTTTTCGATTTCGTTTAAAGTAGTTTAGGGGCAACAGGATTTTCGAGATCAAGTCTCACGCCTGTTCATCCTTGACCCGCGAGATCAACACTTGGTGTTTCATCCCTTGATCAGTTTATGTTTCTCGTGAGTTGGGCTTAAGGACCTTCGAGGCAACCCTCACCCCTTATCATCTCTCCGATCAAACCGATCTGGCTGAGTTTATCAACCTCTACCAAACGAGCAAGTGCAATTCTCCCAAGGATCGTATCATGAACCCTAAAATAGCGGATTTCGGAATGGCTAGGAATTTCAGAGTTGACCAAACTGAAGACAGGACAAGAAGAGTGGTTTGGAACATTGTTAGTACTCTAATATTCTCTTTACTTACAGTTTGATGAATCTCACAAATTAATAAATCTTTGATGAACCCTTTTTTATTTTCAGCGGTTACATGCCTCCAGAGTATGTTACGCATGGCCAATTCTCTACCAAATCTGACGTCTATAGCTTTGGAGTATTGATTCTGGAGATTGTTTGTGGAAAGAAGAATAGCAGCTTCTATCAGATGGATGATTCTGGTGGCAATTTGGTTACACATGTGAGCAAAAATCGAATAGAAATGCCGCTCCGTTTTAATTGTGATCAATGTTTTGAATGCTTCATATGAGTTTTTTTATTTTATTATTATTTTTTTTTTTGGCAGGTTTGGAGGCTTTGGAACAATGATTCACCTTTAGAACTAATCGACCCTGCGATTGGGGAAAGCTACGAGAAGGATGAAGTCATTAGATGCATCCATATCGGACTATTATGCGTTCAAGAAAATCCAGAAGATCGACCAGAAATGTCTATAATCTTTCAGATGCTTACCAATAACTCCATTATTCTGCCTGTGCCTCAACCACCTGGATTTTTCTTCAGGAACAGACCCAATTTAGATCTTTAACCTATGGATCCGAGCAGGGCCAGTCGAGCAGCAAGTCTATTCCTTTTTCTATAGACAGTGCATCAATCACTAGAGTCACTCCTCGTTGAAACTCTTTCTTTTGCATTATGTATGTAGTTTAGCACCAGTCCGTACAATCTTTCTTGTAGCACAAGCAACTCCAGTTTTCAAATTTTATGATCAATTTATTTTTTTATGTGGTGGGTATTGTTAAAAAATCTATTCGGTTCGTAGTTTCATATCCCTTCTTTCACTAGTCATTATCTATTATCTCTCTTATATTTCCTACGAGTTTTCTAAGATGAGTTAACTTGTATGATAAAAGCGCTAGACTTTACGGTTTTACCATACCAAAATTTCTATTTTTGACGAATTCAACGTTCCAAAGATGTTAAACTAGTCTCTTAGATTCTGGACTCCGAATTTTCGAGACAAGTATACTGAGAAATGTTAGATCTCCAAAGAATGTGTCCCAACAATCTCTTGTCACTTGTCAGTCCTCTGTTTTGTCTCTGCAGAGAAATGTGAGGACTCGCAGTATTTCAGACCCAACGGCACAAACCGTTGTCCAATTCTCTCATCTCTTATTTCCAATATTTCTTATGTTTATATTGTTACAAGTTTCTGATTGCTTCATGTTAACGTGTCTTAACGTGAATATTAAAGTATTCTTATCACAAAATTAATCGAGTTGACTTGACTTAAATGCTTGACTCAACTACTTAACGAAAATTCTAAACACGCATGCTTTTGACGAAATCAACGTTCTTTTATGTTAACAGTAAAGTCGAAGTTTGTCTTATTTAGATTCATCTTCCAAAGATCTGCAACAAGTTTCTGGGCAAAGTCAATCTCCTAGAATGTATCTTAGAAATTTATTGTCATTCCTCTGTTTTGTCTTCGCCTTTAGTAGCTACGGATTTGTCTCTGCACAAAGATGTGGGGACTCACTGTTTTTCAGACCAAACGGTACTTACGACACAAACCGTCGTCTCGTTCTTTCAACTCTAGCTTCCAACGTAAGTTCTCGAGACGGCTTCTACAACGTCTCTGTCGGTGAAGGCTCCGGGAGGATCTATGCTTTAGGCCTCTGTATCCCAGGGACTGATCCAAAACTCTGTTCCGATTGTATTCAACCCGCGTCTGTTCGTTTATTACAGAACTGTCCGAACCAAACCGACTCATGGTACTGGAGAGCCGGCAAGACCCTCTGTTTCGTTCGTTACTCAAACCGCTCATTCTTTAACTCCATCGATCTGGAGCCGACACTATCAGAGTTATATACTTTACAAGTCAGTGGAGATGTTGCAGTGTATAACAGAATATGGGAAGATCTCATGGTGCGTATGATATCAGCAGCTTCGTCCACAACTCCGGGGTCGCTTGCAGGTCGACATTATGCATCAAACATGGCTCCTTTGTCAGGTTTCCATAGAATATACGCACTGATGCAGTGTATCCCGGGGATTTCTTCAGTGGATTGTGATGCTTGTCTCCGAGAAAACGTTCGTACTTATCAAAATTGTTGCGGTGGGAATCAAGGGGGTACCATCAGGAGACCTGTTTGCTATTTCAGGTTTGATCCGTATCCGTTTTTTGGTGCTTTTGATAACATAACATCGTCTCCTCCTCCTCAAAGCTCTAGAGATCCTCAAGAATCTCAACCCACAACATCACCTCCTCCTCCAGATGGCGAAACGATTTCTACAGGAGTTATAGTGGCGATTGTTGTATCAGCAGTCATATTTGTGGTGCTTTTAGCTTTAGGATTGATTGCTTTGAAGAAAAGACAATCATACAAAGCACTAAAGCTTGAAAGTAAGCTGCTTTACCTTGTTTCCATCTCGAAACAGAGTATACAAACCATTTCGAAACAGAGTATAGATATAAATTCTCATAGCACCACACTGCTATTGTTGCAGATAATGATGATATTACAAGTCCACATTCACTGCAAATTGATTTCAAGACAATTGAAGCCGCAACTGATAAATTTTCGGGGAACAACAAAATCGGCCAAGGTGGATTTGGTGAAGTTTACAAGGTATATTTAGGCTATGTATCTCTGACTACTTGATTTATTGATGGAAGCTAAGAAGTGTTTCATATGTATATTTACAGGGAACCTTACCAAATGGAACTGAAGTTGCGGTGAAGCGACTATCGAGAAATTCAAGACAAGGCACACAAGAGTTCAAGAACGAAGTTGTGCTTGTGGCGAAGCTTCAACATAGGAATCTTGTTAGGCTTCTTGGGTTTTGCGTGGAAGGAAATGAACAAATACTTGTCTACGAGTTTGTTCCCAACAAGAGTCTTGATTATTTTCTCTTCGGTTTGTTTCTAAATCCATTCTTGTTTTCAATTTAAAACCTAGCTTCATTGTTAATACTGTATTGAATGCGCAGACCCAACAAAGCGGCGAAAGCTAAATTGGACAAGACGGTATAATATCATTGGAGGGATTGCTCGAGGGATTCTCTATCTTCATCAAGATTCACGGCTCACAATCATACACCGTGATCTCAAAGCTAGCAACATTCTTCTAGATGATGAAATGAATCCTAAAATAGCAGATTTTGGCATGGCAAGGACTTTTGGGATAGAGCAAACTCGAGCCAAAACTAACAAGATAGCTGGAACCTTGTAAGTGATTTTGAACTGTAATGAAACCTTTTGATCGTCACTCGTATAGTATAAACAGAACTCTTAGTTTGGCCTTTTTTTTTTTCTTTCTTTTCCAGCGGTTACATGGCTCCAGAGTATGCCATGCACGGTCGATTTTCAATGAAATCTGATGTCTACAGCTTTGGAGTCTTGGTTCTTGAGATCATAAGTGGCAAGATCAATAGTAGTTTTAACGAAACAGATGGATCTGCTGGCAATTTAGTCACACATGTTAGTATTTTTGGTCTTTACTATGATCAAATATTAATTGTCTCTTGACTGATGGAATCATATATGGAAAATGTTAGGCTTGGAGACTATGGAGAAAAGGCTCGGCTTTAGAACTTTTAGACCCGACTTGCAGGCAGAGTTATCAGAGAAATGAAGTTACAAGATGCATTCATATCGCGCTTTTATGTGTTCAAGAAGATCCTAGAGACCGTCCTATGATGTCTACAATCATCTTACTACTCACTAGTACCACAATCACTTTACAAGTGCCTCATTCACCTGGATTTTTCTTACAAAGTAGCCGTGACCGAGATTCAGAAGCTGAAGGCACCCATTCGTTTCGAAAACCGGTTCCTTGCTCTATCAATGATATGTCCATTACCGATTTGGAACCTCGTTGAAGATGATATTATTTGATGATGTCTTCCTCTAGTCTCTTGCGTGTTCTAGTGTATATTTACTGATGGAATGAAAAAACAGAGGGATTTTTTGGTTTGTCTATAAGACTATAACCATTACTAAACCGGTGCTATTAAAATCCCAAATCAAATCTACTTTTATTGATTTTAGGTGCATCTTTCAAATTCATTCTTTGCGTTACTTCTGTTTCCGCTCTAATCAGTTTAGGATTTGGTCACTTAGGGTTTCGCTTTACGAGATTCTGGATTTTGAGGCGACACGAGTGTTCATGAGGGTTTGATCTGTTCTACGACTAGTTCGTTGTCTGTGACTATGTAATTTCTTCCAATTAGTTACCATGGATCATAAATCGTGTATGGCATGAGCTTCAGGTCAATCTTTGACCCTTAGGTACTCTGTCTTGTCGGATTATACTTTTCACATTTTGCTGGACATTGTCTCGTTTTGCTTCTGCTTATTCCATTTACTGATTATAGTTATTGTCACTTGCCATTGTCAACGATGATATATTGTTTCATTATTCAAATCGAATGATTTGTCTACTTCGTTTATAAATGTTTTTTTTTCTATTCTTTAACTAGTTGAGTTGATAACGTAATAAGACAGCTATTGAAAGTATCAGTGTATTATTGTTTCATGTCTTAACCTAGTACAATTTGTTTGAGAATGTTTCAAAACAAAACGAATTGAAATTATCAACGCATTGTTATTGTAAAGCTATTTGCCAAATTGATTTATCAATTAGGCTACAAATTTACACACTTGCTTATAAACTAAAACATTGCATTCATATGTTCCCACTTTATCTCTCATCTCTCTCTCTTTCTCTCTCAACAATGTGTGTGAACAATCTTTTGTCAATCCTCTGTTTTTTCCTGGCCATTAGCTTTGGCTACGTGTCTGCAGAAGTATGTGAGGACTCACTGTTTTTCATACCAAACGATACTTACGATACAAACCGTCGTCTCGTTCTCTCAACTCTTGCTTCCAACGTCATTTCTCAAGATGGATTCTACAACGTCTCGGTTGGTGAAGGCCCTGGAAAGATCTATGCCTTAGGGCTATGTATCCCAGGGGCTGAACCAAAGGTCTGTTCAGACTGTATCCAAGCCTCGTCCGAGTATCTATTAGAACGCTGTCCCAACCAGACCGACTCTTTCGACTGGAGCCCACAAAAGACTCTCTGCCTTGTTCGTTATTCCAACAACTCGTTTTTCAACGAGATTGATCTTGAGCCGTACCAAGCAGGGTACTATGGTGGAGATATCCCTGGAAACGTAACAGAGTTTAACAGAGTATGGGAAGTTTTGATGACGCGTATGATTGTCGCAGCTTCCTCTTTGACTCCTGGATCGCATTCAGGCAGGCACTACGCGGCCGATATGATCCCTTTTACAGGTTTCATTAATATTTATGCTCTGATGCAGTGTATTCCTGGGATATCTTCAAAGGACTGTGAAAAATGTCTTCTTGAAAACGTCCGGACGCAGCAGGGTTGCTGCAGTAGGACCAAAGGAGGTATCGTTAGGAGACCGGTCTGCTTTTCGCAGACTAATATTTCTCCGTTTTTTGGTGCTTTTTATAACATAACACTGTCTCCACCTCCTCAACACGTTCAAGCCCCTCAAACCTCACCTCCTCCGGTGGATCTGCACAGTTCAACCAAGGAAGGTATCATTGTAACATGGAGTCTTGACTCCTTATGGTATTTTCCTTATATATGCCTTATCCGCTCCTGAATCTGAAAAGGACCTTTGAATCTCGTTTTTTGGCGTACCAAAACTTGAATTTCTTTTGCAGATGGCAAAAAGATCTCCACAAGAACTGTAGTGGTTATTGGTGTCCTGGCAGCTGCTGCTGTAATCATGCTACTGCTTGCTCTAGGATTTGGTTTTTTCAGGAGGAGAAAATCATACAAACCAATGAATTATAAAAGTGAGTTTTGTGTTTTTTTATCCATTTTTGAAAGTATTTCATGCATAATGTAACACCATACATCCATTGTTCAGCTGATGATATCACACGTTCACAGCCGCTGCAGTATGATGGTATCACACCATCACATCGGCTGCAGTGTGATGGTATCACACCATCACATCCGCTGCAGTATGATCTTTCGACAATTGAAGCCGCAACAGATAATTTTTCCGACAAGAACAAACTCGGTGAAGGTGGATTTGGCGTAGTTTACAAGGTGTGATTTGTCTACAATCCTGGTTAGCTTACTTGCAATGCAATCCATCATGATATCAATGAAACCATTCATCTATCTATATTTCTGGAGATGTAGGGTACATTCCCAAATGGAACCGAAATTGCGGTTAAGAGACTGTCAATAGCTTCGACACAAGGCTTTCAAGAGTTCAAGAACGAGGTCATTGTAGTGGCAAAGCTTCAGCATTATAATCTTGTTAGGCTTCTTGGGTTTTGCTTGGAAGGAGAAGAGAAGATACTCATCTATGAGTTTTTGTCTAACAAAAGCCTCGATTTGTTCCTCTTTGGTCTGTCAACATTCCAAAAACCCTAGCTTTGTGTACCTGCCTATCTATCTTGACATATTAACTCATACATCTATGCGCAGACACTATGACTAAGCGGCAGCTGGACTGGACCAAACGGTACAATATCATTGAAGGGATCGCTCGAGGGATTCTATACCTTCATCGAGACTCACGTCCCAAAGTCATACACCGTGATCTCAAGGCAAGCAACGTCCTTCTTGATGCTGAAATGAAACCCAAAATCGCTGACTTTGGCCTGGCAAAGATTTTGGCAGTAGAGCAGACTCGAGCCGAGACTTGCAGGATAGCTGGAACTTAGTAAGTGGAGTCATGAACTTTGTACGAGCCTTTTACTTGTCACATGTTAAAACTCAAGTCTTGCTGTATGTTTTGTCCAGCGGCTACATGGCTCCCGAGTATATGAATCTTGGTCAGTTCTCTATGGAGTCTGATGTCTATAGCTTTGGAGTCTTGGTTCTTGAGATCGTAAGCGGCAAAACGTGTGGTAGCTTCTATCGGATTGATGATACTGATTGCAATCTGGTCACATATGTGAGTATTACTAATTTTGGTTTCTTTATACTAAGATCAAGTGTTTATTCATTTAACCAATACTACATTAATATTTTAGGCTTGGAGAATCTGGAGAAAAGGCTCGGTGGACGAAGAATTCGTGGACCGGACCTTCGGGAAAGATTATCAAATCGAACAAGTGAGACGATGCATTCATATTGCTCTATTATGTGTTCAAGCTGATCATACAAATCGTCCAAAAATGTGTAAAATCAACTCGATGCTCGCTTCTAGCAAAATCAGTCTTCCAGAGCCTCATGAACCTGGATTTTTGCTACCTGGTAGATGCTGAGCGCTTCAAGTTGTTTTGGCAAATCGGTTCCTTGTTCTATATTTTTTTATCCTCATTAGAATGTGATTCATATTTAAATTTGATTTTGATTTGAGTTCGAGAGATGCTTCGTTACTACAGTATATTGTAAGACCTTGAATTACAAATGTAAAATTCTAATGTTCAGTCATAAAAGCAGAGGGATTTAGCCGTTAGGACTCGTAGTTACCAATGTACTATACTACTAGTACTACCAACTGATTGTATATAGCCTAAACCGGTAATTTGTAAATACCATGGCAATATTTCACGCATTCCTCTCCCTCCCTCGCTTCTTCGTCTGCTTGCTTGCAACCTATTCGATTTAGGGTTTTACCATTAAGGGTTTTGCTCTCTAATCTTATTCGATCCAGGAGAAGATTCCGTCTTCCCGAATCACAGATGTCGTAAAGGCCGAATTTTTTTATCTAGTTTTATGATTAGGGTTTCCTCTGTTCGTTATCCTTAATCAGCATTTGAAAGTTCGTTTCTTGTTACTTTGTCCGCTTTTGCCGTTGCTTCCAATGTCAAAGGGCTCATGAGTGCTAGTATGATGCTTATACTGGTTAAAGGTCCGGTTTTTATGATACCCCAGGAGCCAAATCACAGATTGTCCTCAGATTGTATCTTGGAGGCGCGTCTGATGGATTATTACAGATTTGTCGAGGCACTGGTTGATGATTGTGTTACTTGTTGATAGTCACCACTCACCATGATTGTGGATAACAGTTGCAAAGTTTGATGTAAAGGCAACTGTTTGATGGGTTTTGCCTGCAATCATCGTGACTCTCAACAGGTAACACTATCACTCTACTAGTGCCTCGACCATCCCAAATTTTCTAGTCTTGTGCCTCCAAGCTTGGAAATAGGTCAAATCTTTAAACGTTACTCAGTCTAGTCCACTTTTGCTTTACTCATTGTTTGGGTATTTTGTGCTTTCGATTCTTAGCCTAATTTCGGTGTCGTTAGGACTCAAGTTAATGGGTCTTTTACTGTTTGTAGATTTCTGTAGTGAGGGGGTTTGAATAACGATGATATTGTTTGGGTAATGCCAACGATGATATTGTTTTTTTATTCATGTTGTATGATTTTGTCAACAGTGCCTCAGGGTAAAATGTTTCTGTATTACTGTTTATGCTTAGAAAGCTATTGAAGGTGTCAAAGTATTATTAGTTTTGGTTCTTTAAATTGCTCAATTTGGTTTAAAATTTTTATGACTATATATAATTATCAAAGTATTATAGTTGTAACATTACAAGAAGATCGGCTTTTACGTCGGCAGATATCGACGTAAAATCGACGTAAAAGAGCATTTACGTCGAATTAACGACGAATTAAAAATCGTCGTAAAACGATCGTCGTAAAACCGAAATCGTCGTAAAATCGTCGTAAAATTACCAATTCTAGAAAACCGTCGTAAAATCGTCGGGAACAATTCGTCGTAAATGCGTCGTAAATTTTCCAACGGATGTACAACAAAAGAACTCCATCATAAAAACGACGTAAAATCGATGTAAAATTATATCGATTTAACAACGATTAGGAGACGAACAATTTCAATTAAGGGAAACTAATTTTTTAATTGTCGATGTTAAATCGTCGTAAAGTTTCGACGTAAAGCCGACGTAAACTTATTCGTCGTAAATTCGTCGTTAAATATTCGACGTTAAATCGACGTAAATTTACGACGAATTTACGTCGATTTATAAATTAATTATTTAATTCGATTTTAATTTAATTAATGAATTTTTAAAATAATCAAAAAATTAAAAATAGAAAAAATTTGAATTTAAATTGAAATTTAAATTCAAAAATAATTTATAAATAAAAAAAAAATTAATACAAATTGTTTTTTACAAAAAAACCTAATCTATACAATGATGTCGTAATCGTCGAGGTTGAGATCGACGTCACGAGGAGGCTCTCCGTCTTGGCCGCCCGTCGCTGCTAGGCCGACGTTTTCCGTCTGCACTACCGGAGCCGAAGTCTGACCGCCCGTCGCTGCTGAGACCGGAGCCAAAGACTGACCGCCCTGCGTCTGGTGGTCCGATGGTCCAGTACCGGAACTACCACCGGTCTCAAAAACCCTCCATGCTCGCTGTTGCCTCGCTCGGATTGCGGTGGCCAACTGCGGAACCGCTTCCGCAATGATGTCGAAGAGATCATGTATCTCGGTGAGCTCCTGCTTCTGGGCCACTTGCTCATGCCTGAGACTGGTGATCTCAGCATTGGCCGTAGCAAGCTCCTGGCGAAGCTGCGGATCCTGCGTGCGGAATCCTGAAGCCGTGGCGGCAGGACAGTCTCTAATAGAGCCCATCCCTAAGGTTCGGCCCTTCTTCTTCGGAGCAACCTACAAATGGAAAATAAAAACGTTAATTATTTATTAAGTAATTATAAATATAATAAATTTTTAAAAAATTGAAATAGATATCATACCTCTTCGAAAATCTGGTCTTGCTCAGCGACGGTCAACGGTACTTGGATAGTACCGTCAGGTGTGGCCTGGGTCTCCCGCTCGGCGATCCGCTGCATAGCGGCATTGTAGATCTCCTCGGACCGAGCGTCGACAAAGCTCCCGTCCTTCTTCCGGTGAGTGGTCTCGAAGAGCTTCGTCATTGGAGGTAGTTCTCCTCCGTTCTCCTCGGCCTACCAATTAATAAACATTATTAGTCAAAAATATTTAATTAATTCTAGCAATAAATAAAATTAAAATAATAATGAAATAATTTATATTTAATTACTTACCATCATGAGACGTCTTCCCGCAAAAGATATTTGGCCAGAAGTGTGCGGGGTCACTAACTTCTCACCAGTCACCGGATCGACCCGGTTTCGGACGGCCGAACACTTAGCAGCGGTGGTTTGGGCATGCGGGTCCACCCAATACGCCTTCAACCCGTTCCAACACCAAGTGGACATGGAGCTCGGCTTTGCGTCGTCGCCGTCGGTCTCCCATTTCCGCTTCCAATCGGAAACGGTGTTGACTAGGCGTTTCTTTGCCTTTTCCTCGAAAGCTTCGCGGACCGTCTCGTTGATCCCGATGTCCCAGTTCCACCGTTGCTGCAAAAGAAAACAAAAAATTAGATAACCAATATAAAAGTAAGATTAATTAAATTTAAAACAATTTAAAATGATATAAATAAGATTTTAAAAATATTACCGCGAAGCACTTGTACCAGGTGTCGCACGTCTCTTGCAACACCTTGCTCCAATTGACGTGCGGCTCCACGAAATGACTCTTAATTGTGTCGGAAACGCTCCGCCCGACACAATTATCCAAAGTAAACCTATGAAACCAAAAAAAAAAAATTATTACATTAATATTTAAGTAAATTAAAGCGTTAATTTAAAAACTATAAAAAACAAAAAATTTACTTACCAATAAGAGCCTGGTTCCGCTTTTCCGGGAACCAGACGTCGTAAAGCCCCCCGTCCCGGTAAGGCTAGTAAATCCTCAACCGTAAACTGGGCATACGGATGAGGAGGGGCGGGTACCGGTTCGGCAGCCGGGGCGGGTACCGGTTCGACAGCCGGCAGTGGAGGTGGTGGTGGAGGCGGTGGTGGAGACGGCTCCGCGGTATTCGGAACCTGGGAGGCTCCGGAAGATGAAGGGACATCGGTCCCGGTGTTTCCCGAGGCAGACGCCCGAGAAGAATGTCCGTCCGCCATGAAATTGATGTAATGCGTCCTCCGTCGAGTCATCGTCTGCAAAACCGAAAAAAATTTATTTTTCAAATTAATTACAATTAATTTTTAATTACGATCCTAAATCTAACAAATTCCGATCCTAAATCTAACAAATTCCAAGCCTAAACTAATTCCCGACCTAAACCGTTTGAATTTCTAAACTATTTAAAATTATTATAATTTTAAGTAATTAAAAAAAATTATTTACCTTTTTTTTTGCGTCAAAAGGAGGAGGTGGGAAGGAGGAAGCAGAGAGAGAGGAAGGAGAGATAAGCGACGAAATGAGGAAGGGGTGAGGTCCTATATATAGAATTTATATTCGTTGTAAATTCGTCGCAAAGATCCCACCGTACAACAAAGCGAGTAAGACAAACACACGTGGCTGTATCTGGGCTTTGCGACGAGTTTACGACGATCCGTGCTATTCGTCGTAAAATCGTCGTAATGTTACGACGATTTTACGACGAATCGTATAAATCAAAAAAATTAAGACGGCTGTGTATCCACTAATCGTCGTAAATTCGTCGTAACATTACGACGAATTTACGACGAATTATACCAAAACTGATGAAATTCAAAAATTGAAACATCCATAAGGACATACAAGCATGTCTATTCATGATAAATGTGGTCTGTATAACTTTCTAGCATGTTTACATAACTTAATGAAGAATTTAGTAAGATGTAAGATAAATCCATACATCTTATGTAAATGTATATAACACCTTAAGATTACTTGATAAACACATATATGTCAAATTTTGAATTTTTTTTTTTTGTTTAGAAAGTTGTTTTACCTTATGAGATGGTAAGTCATTTCATTCTCCTCATCAAAATCCCCCTGAACCCCATAAAAGATTGATTATAAGATTTAGGGGTTACATTTCGTCGTATTTTCGATGGTATATTACGACGAATTTACGACGATCATTCCCATTCGTCGTAAATTCGTCGTAATAAAAACCACATTTCTACAAGTTCCTGAACCTTATACTACATACTCTTATATAATACATCAGTTTACTTAGGAAAATGAACCCAAAAACCATTCTGTAAGTTGGGAAAGCTAAACCCTATAGGGTTTAGGGTTTGCATATTACGACGAATTTACGACGATTTCTAAATAATCGTCGTAAATTCGTTGTAATAGTCAACATATGTCCAACTCAACACTTAAACAAATTTTCATCAACATTTAATTAGTCTTCATTAATTGGCTTTAATTTTTCAAAAATTTAAATTTGACAAATGTTACATTGAAACGTTCAAAGCATGCAATTAAATGTCAAAATATT